AGTCCTTGGTCTAAAGCCCAACCATTCTCCCAGTGTTAACTTCTCAGAGCTTTCCCTAATTCTCACAGCTGGAGGAAATCTTTTTAACTCTAAATCTCATTAACATCTTACTGTCATAGCCTCAGCTTTCTTTCTCTTGCAATTCACACGTAATATTTTCCCCATTCTTTTACTTAAAACCTATTTGCATGCTTATGTTCATCAAATGTGTTTCTTAGAAAAAGTACATAGTTGGGGACTGCCTTTTCATCTAGCTGGAAAAAATATATCTTTTAAAAACTTTTGTGTCTTATTCTTATAGCTTTTGGGGATAGGATCTTGCTCCCTAGCCCAGTCTGAACTGGAACTTACTATGTAGCACAGGCTGGACTTCAGCTCATGAAGCTCCTGCTTCAGTCTCCCAATTACTGGGGTTGGAGGTATGAGCCACCATGCTTAGCTGCACAGCTTTTAATTGTGCTGTTTAGTCCATTTATATCTACTGTAAGCACTGATTTGGGGGCAGAAGAAAACAAGTTTATTGAATGTACTGCAAGGGACAGCAAGCTAAGCAATAATAAGAGTACTGCCCAGAGCCAATTATTGAGATATTTGAACCTACCTACCCACTTTCATGCTTGAAAGCTATTACTCACCGCTTTTGGGGGGAAGGTGTCTTTCACTTCTCTTTTGTTTATCTTTCTTCTTCTGTGGACTGGTTAGTTTATCATATTTTATTTTAGTTGGCCATTTCCCCTGTTGATTGTAGTCATGCCTCTTGCACATATCTTTATGCATTAGTGGCTACTATATAAGTTAAAATAGGCATCTTTAACTCATCATATTATAAATTATTTAAAGAAAAAGTACAGTCTATAGTTATTTTTTGGGGGGGTTATTCCCCAAGTGTTATATCCCTGATGACTTTAACTTTGTTGTCCATACGTATTATAAACTGTCTCTGGTTATTATTTTTCTTTTAAAAAGTCTGTTGTCTAAGAGATTTAGTATCATGTATGTACAAAAGCTATGACTATTTTAAAGCTTGTTTTCTTAATGTATTTGCATTTTAGAGTAATCCCCATTGTTTCTTAAAGAACCAAATTTCTTGTTCATATTTCCTTTTAGCAGTTAGAACTTTGGATGAATTCTTTAACTGCTTCGCTGACCAAAGATGTCTTTATTTCATCTTCATTGTTGAAAGCTATTTTACTGGACTGAAACTCTAAATGAACATGGTATTGCTGTAGGTTTGTTTTGGTTTTGGTTTTAGCATTAACAAAATATCATCGTGGCCTCCATTTTGCTCTGCTGAGAAGTTATGGAAGGAGACAGATAGACAAGAAGGGAAGCCCATACAGCATGTAAATGAACAGCTGTGTCACAATTTCACTAGAAAAATACTAGGTGGGTATGTGTCTACCACCTCTCATCTGTATTAGTTATTCTATTGCTGTGATCAAATACCTGACAAGCAATTTAATGGAGGAAGGGTTTATTTTGGCTAAGGTTTGAGGGCATATTCATTGTGGTGGAAACTGGAGCATCCTTAAGGACACACACAGAAGTATATCTCCTAAGTTATTCCAAATCTAGTCAATGAAAATTAACCATCACACCAGCTTTTGTCAACTTGACACCCAAACATATCACTTTAATTTTTTTGTTTGTTTTTGAAGCAGAGTGTCCCTGTTGCTCCAACTGGCCTGCAGTTAGCTTTGTAGACCAGGCTGGCCTCCATCTCACAGAGATCTTCCTGCCTCTGCCTCCCAAGTGCTAGGACTAAAGGCCTGTGCTACCATAGCCAGCAAATGCATCACTTTTAAATTATAACATTCATCCTTGGTCTCAAAGGCTCATAGTTATCCCATAATACAAAAAGCAGTAAGTCCATCTTTAAGAGGCCACAAATCATAACTGTTAAAAAGCTCAAGTTTAGGGGCTGGAGAGATGGCTCAGCAGTTAAGAACACTGGTTGTTCTTGCAAAAGACCCGGGTTTGAATCCCAGCACCCATAGAGCAGCTAACAACTGTCTGTATCTCCAGTTCCAGGGGCTCCAACAGTCTCTTCTATCCTCAGCAGGCATTGCACGACATGGGTGCATGCAGGCATTTACATGCATACACATAAAAATAAAAATAATAAAATATTTTAAAAAGCTCAAGTTCAAAGTCTGCTCTGAGACTCAAGAAAATAATAATAAAGCTATTAAACATGCAAGAGTTGATTCTTTCCTTGCAGCATGTGGGTTCCAGGGATCTAATTAAGATCTGCCAGTCTTGGTGGCAAGCACCCTTACTCACTGAGCCATCTCACCTCCCCATCTGGAGCTCTTGATGGCATCACTTGAACACCAACAGCTTTAGGTAGTCTCACCCCTCCAATTCTGCCACCTTAAATATATAGCCTCTGTTTTAGTTGGCTCTATACCATGCTTGTAGCTTTCCCCAGTAGATGTCCATGGCCTTGGCACCACCACCATGCCCATTGCAACTTAGGCATCACCTCACTGCTTTATGTAATGACCTTTCAGGACCTCCTTGTGGGAAATTTGATCCTACCATACTGCCTAGCCTCAGGACTTTCTATAACCTTGGTGAAAGCCTCCACAGCCCTGTAACTCATGAATATTGCATGCCTGTCATACCAGCACCATGTAGACAACACTAACAAGTTCTGCTGCCAGCTCAAAATATAGTTTAGCTTCCTTCTACCACAGCTTTCATGCCCTCTATGTACTTTGGCTACTGAACCTAGGAAAACTCTTATGCTATTTTTTTTTGATGGAGGAGACAGAGAACCATTTCAGTAGCATTCTCATTCCAAGCTCTCTGCTTACAAATGAATTTGCTTTTTTACTTTCTAGACTGGAGCCTTTTATAAGTGATGTCCTCTCAAGGCACTTTCTTATTGTATTGTCTCAGTGTAAAGCTACTTTTCTATCATCTATCTATCTATCATCTATCTATCTATCTGTCTATCATCTCTATCTATCTACCTACCTATCTATCTACCTATCTAACTATCTATCATCTCTATCTACCTACCTACCTACCTACCTACCTACCTACCTACCTACCTTTGCCCCTCGGATCTGGGATTGAACCTAGGACACATGCATGCTAGCCAAGTGTTTTACCACTAGCTATAACCCCAGCTCTCATTTTATTTTTTATTATTGAGATAGGATCTCACTAAGTTGTCAAGACTGACTTTGAACTCACTCTATAGTCCAAGAAGTCTTTGAATTTACAATTCTTTTGCCTCAGTCTCCCACATAACTGATATTATAGGCCTTGATCACCAGAACCAGTCTTGAGATTTCTCTTTAATGTCATTAAGCTCTCGAAAAATTATCTTCTTTCTGCACCCATCTTGTCAATAACTTTAAACTCAATCATGTTCTTTTCATCTTTTTGCTGCCTCTGACTGTACATGTGACAAAGAGCAGTAGACAGTGACCATACCACAATCTAAGTATCATGCTTTCTTGAAATTTGCTCTTTGACAGTTTAATACAACTTAGTCTATTACTTTTGAATTCAGCATCACTTAAATAACCTGGAAGAATAAAGCAACCTCCCATCTAATTCTCAATACAGTCCTTGTTCCCTTCTGGAACCTCATGAGCCATGCCTCCACTGTCCACATTTCTCTTGGCCTTCTGGTCTTCTGAATTCCCACCAGAATGGCCCATTACTTCATAGTACTCTAAGGATTCTCTGGTTCACAGCTCCGAACTTTCACATTTCCTCTGCAAGGTAGTTAGTTCTAAAGTCCTACACACCACATGGTCATGTTTACCACAGCAAAAGTTCTTGTTTGGTACCAGTTTTCTGTAGTTAGTTTCTTATCACTGTGCCCAAACACCTAATGAAAGGTAATTTATAGGAAGAAGGCTTTATTTTGGCTCAGTTTGCAAAGGTAGTGTTCACCATGGCTGAGAAGGCATGCATGGCAGATTTCATAGCAGAGGACTCACATCTCAATGGACTAAAAGGCAGAGAAGGGGAAATGCTGGTATTCATCTTGCTTTCTCAGATGGGATACCAGATACCACCCACATTCAGGGTATGTCTTCTCTTATTGGTTAAAGCTCTCTGAAAACTCCCTCAAAGACACACCTACAAGTGTGTCTCTTGGGTGATTTGAAATTCAGTCCAGTTGACAATGAGGATTGACTAATCATCACAGTGAAGAGGCTGGTTATTTATCCACCAACTTAATCAGTGGTCTTGCCTGTGGTGAAGACTACTCTAGCTTCAGAAAGTAAGAGAAATATATATATATCTGTGTGTGTGTGTGTGTGTGTGTGTGTGTGTGTGTGTGTGTTTGCAGTAGAAAGGAGCTGACAGGACCAAATGTGGACAGGCCCAACAGTACCTGCTCTCCAACAGCACTTTTATTTTTCAGATATAGTGGCATATTGCATCCTGATGTGATTGAGAGGGTGATTCCAGCCTTAATTCTCTTTTCAATCTCCAGGCATCAGAACTCAGATGTAACAGAAGAAAGCCAGTCATTGTTGATAACTGACAAGAATACACTGCATACAACACCAATCTAAAAATAATTGGATTGGTTCTTCTTTATTTCCTTCTAAGCTCATATTGACTCAGATAACATAATTTGATCTTTTAATTGCCAAGGAAGTTAAAGACTAGTTGGAATGTTTTTTTAAAGATGTATTTTTTATTTTTATTTATGTGTATGTGTGTGGGGGAGGTATGTACATGTGCATGCAATTACTGGCAGGGGCCAAAAGAGGATATTGTATCCACTAAGGTTGGGCTTGTAAGTGGTTGTAAGCCATCAGATATGGATGCTGAGAATTGAACTCAGGTTCTCTGTAAGAGTAGCAAGAGCACTTAACTGTTGAGCCATCTCTCCAGCCCCAATTACTGGAATAATAATAATAATAATAATAATAAATTTTCCATCTAACTTATATTTGATGTAATTTAAAAATATAAATTCTACATCTAAACTTTGTATAATGGGTATTTTTTATTATTTCCAGCCAACAATGATAAGGCATCCACCAACAATTGTTTGTTACATCTGTGGCCGTGAATATGGGACCAAATCGATCAGTATCCATGAGCCACAGTGTCTGAAAAAATGGTATAATGAAAACAACTTGTTGCCTAAAGAGCTAAGGAGACCAGAACCAAAAAAACCAGAAGTTAGAACCATTTCTGGTAAGTTCCTAAGAAAAAGATTTTGGAGGTATTATTTTCTTATTTGTTCAAACTTCTGAAAGTAGTAACATATACAGTCTTGAACACAGACAAGTTGAATTTTTTAAAAAAGCTCTGGAATGCCTGTCTGGTGCTGTCTTTAGATGCTGAGACACAAAGACACTATAACCTGGCAACATCATATGAAAGGGACAGTATTTGACCAAATTCCCCAAAAGTTATATTTATAGATTATTAAGCATAATATTTTTAAAACATGAAGCTTAAAAAAAAACCTTTGTGTTCTCCCTGAATGGGAGATCTATATCAAACTTCTGCCTTCTCAAGGCTCAGGGATCATTGTGGAAGAGGGGCAGAAAGATTGTAAGAGCCAGAGGAGGTGAATGATCACAGGAAAGCAAAGTTTCCCAGACACCTAGGAAGTTACTCATATGAACTCACAGTAGTGGGGACAGCATCCACAAGATCCACATAAGCTTAAGCCAGACAAAATCCCGGTGTAGATGTGGGGAAATGAGTAAGAAACCCCAGCCCTATCTGAGGAACCATTGGCAACCGATAGCTGCTGGGAACGGGAGAGTCCGTCTCATTTACGGGTGAGACTCCTTTTTTTTTAATAGAAAATTTCTTGTTTTTAAAGTAGTTAATGCTTTGTACCAATTAATTTTTTTCAAAGGGGATAGAGATAGTTTATTCTGGAGCTAAATATGAGTGACCATGGACCAGGAACACAGATTCAGGTTACCCCAAATTTCATGTTCCAGCATGGTAACAGTTGCCTTACATTTTTATGGTAACAGAACAAAGAAAAATCATAAATGAAGACACTTTTCAAATACATTGGTGGGTACATTCAGTAGCAGGTCATAACAAAGCGGGGGAATTCTACTATAGGTCTCAGATGCTATCATCACATTTTAGCTTTGTGATTGGTGGAAACACAACTTTTTCTTTGTTAAGTTAAAATATTCTGTTAGTCTCAAGATGTTAAGTTAGAAACAGAGGTGGGCAAGGAGTGGCCACTTACGGCCTTGTGGCCCAAGATAAATTGTAAATAGGCTTTGGATCTGCATCATTTCAAATTCTACAGTCATTGAAGTGGTAATCAGTTGGTTTGCCTTGCAAGAAGTTCAGTCCAAGAAGCTGGATTTTATTGGGGCCATATGTATATTCTAAGAGTGAGACTCCTGTAGGTTGATCAGGCTCCTGTGGATGGACCCACACTGAATAGAACTTGGGGACACAAGTTTTATTCAATAGAGTACATATAACAGAGTATATATACATATGTATGTGTGTAAACATATAACAGAATACATGAAATTGGGAGGGGTAGGTAGTAAGTAGGGGGATTCAGATGGGGGAAGGGACCTAAATTCAATCAAACTATGTTTGATGGGGTTCACAAAAACTCAGTAAAAAATTAGAGTTGTGGCTTTATCTTTACACAGAAAGAAATAAACACAGTACTGACTCAACAAAAAAGCAAAACTTTGGGGACACACAGAGCCTTGTTTTATTTTTAATGTGCCTTGATGTCCCTGTGAAACAGGAGTACCAAACTCACAGGTCCACTAGTCAGGTTACAAAGTTGAGTGTTTCTTGTGTGGGAAAAAAAAAAGGAGGAAGGCAGGAGAATGGTGAACTAGAAACCTCAGCTCTCTAAAAGAAACAGCAGCTGCGCAGATCCAGCTGTTGTTGTCATTAAGAAAGTTAGCTCAAGACAGATGAATCTTCCAATAAATGAAAGAGAAAACAGAAATCTTGACATCTGGATGGAGTGTCCAGATTTAATATCTTCTGCAATCAGTAATTTAGACAGCATTATGCAACCCAAATGAAACCGGATCTGGGCTGCCTCGTGCCGCAGAGCCGTGTGCCGCAGAGCCGTGTGCTTCCTCCCTGACCGTGTGGAAACAGCTGAGAGAGTGCATTTTGCCATGCATGCCCAGAGTCAACGGTCAGATTTCTACCACTGACCATTTTCTCAGTTGATTTCTACATTCCTTAAAAGGAAAATTTTGATTTTAAGATGAACATCTTTCAAGTCATTTCCCTTGTGTAGCCATGGATACTACACAGTATCCAAGAAGAGTTTATAACAACCCATGGAATGAAATCTAATTGTTTCACTAAAGTTCTAGATGTTGCTGAAACCCAGCTTTGCAAACAGGAGGGAAATGAGCTCAAGATAAAAATATTCACCTATTAAAATCAGCCTTTACCCCCAGAGAGACTATCTACCTCACTAGAATGGTCTTCCCAGAACTTGAACCCAGCTTTGCAAACAGGAGGGAAATGAGCTCAAGATAAAAATATTCACTTATTAAAATCAGCATTTACCCCCAGAGAGACTATCTACCTCACTAGAATGGTCTTCCCAGAACTTATTTAGTACCCCAAATCTCTTTCTGATATGTATCACTTTTCCTGCTTAACATTCATCATTACAGGCTAGAAGTGAAGAGGATGGCTTTGAGAGGCCCTGGGCTCACCACCTTGCCATCACTTACAGAGAAAAAGCCTGCCATTGTACTTGGGTGCACTTTTCCTGCTACTTTTATCTCTGAAGGTGTCCTCCTCCTGTAGACAAAATGAAGTCACATCCCCTCCCACATACTCAGTGCGGTGACTGAATTCAAAGCCCTATGCAAACATTTAGAAATGTGATAGATTGCCTTTAAGTGACAGTAACTACTTCAGAGTTTTTGAGTCTGAATCAAAGCTCGCAAAAGTAGAAGAGGCAGCACTGTTCCTTCCTCTACAGAGTTTTCAAAACACTCAAAACACACATTCAGAATTAGTGTAAAAAGTGATACTTGAAATAGAAGGTTGTACAAGGACTTAAATCTCCATTAGAAGCAGGCATGTTAAGGAAATCTCAGGTTTGTTATAGTTGAGCCATGATAGAAATTAGGAGCACTGCCTAGTGTTTAATGCAGTAACATATGCTGCGCCAATGATAAAAACGAATACATTTTTAAGTGCCTGGCTACATTTTAGGGGCCTATTTTGGGTTATTCTAAGACATTGACAATTTAATGTACGAAAGTCATTCTATCTAAATAAGGTTTATTAAAGCCAAACCCCACATCGTTTCTCTAAAATAAAGTCATATGCCTCCCCCCCACACCCTGCTCTGAAGATTTACACATCAGCTGCCTGTTTCATTTTCTTAAGGACACTTCTTTCCCTCATTATTTTGTTTGCCTTCTTCACTTTAATTACTTAAAGAACCTCTGAATTTAAGGCCATGAAGAGATGATGATTTTGAGGACATAATTTATCTGAAATTCACTCTCAACTGTCAGTTTGGGCCACTGAAAACATTCCACCGAAGGATTACAGAAGAGGAAAATACAAATACACGTTCTTTTCCCTTTGTAAGCTTATATTTAGAATCAACTGAAAGAAAGCCAAAAGTTATATTTGTGAGATAACAATGTGTAAGCAAATATGTTAATAATTAGTGAAGAATGCATATCAAAACACTGAAAAATGTCTCTCCCTTTTTAAAATCCAAAAGAGTAAAAAGCCTCTGGATCATAGTTAATGGTACTCAACCCAGGAAAGAATGCTCAAGATTATTTGTTATTTCTTTACTTTTAGCCAGAGTCACACGATTTATTTTAAAACCTCAGGCAACAGGTATTTCCTGCGAATATTTTCCATGAATAGTAGAATATGGTTTTCTAGAATGAAAAGTAATCCATTTTACCTTTTTATTTTCCTCTACGTGTTTTTATTTTTCCCCCCTCCCTCCCTCTCTCCAGCCAAAGGGTTCTACGATCTGGTTGCCTTAAACGAAGCTGCCTGGCAAAGCTCCCAGAGCCAGCTGGTTCCCTGCAGTGTTTGTGGGCGAACCTTCCTGCCAGACAGACTGATTGTTCACCAGCGATCTTGTAAACCGAAAGCCGCCAAGTAAAGCCCTTTCCTCAGCACCCAAAGTGACAGGACTTAATCCTTTTGAAAAAGATGGGGATAGAGTGGGAAGGAGAAAAGGAAGTGAGGAGAGGAAACTAGGAAAACTGCAGTTAACTGAGCACTGGCACATCCCTAAGGGCCTTGCCATTACAGGATGGTTACAGGATGGGTAAAGGCATTGCCTGCTCTTAGGTGCAGTGGGGACCATGTCACACTTTAGTCAGGCAGAATTACAAGCAGACTGCTTCTTATCAGAGCTGTGAGGACAATTGCCCAGCAAACAGGTTTAGAGGGCAACTTAAGGTAACTCATAGGTCCCAGGAAGACCTGAATTTCTTCCTATCCCAGTGCTTTCTGATCCAGAGATGCTTTTACATTGAGTTACTGATTTGGAAGTTTCTTTTCCCTATAGAATCACTCAACGGGATACATATATTTAAGAGCTGGAGGCTTAAAAGTATCGGAACTATATCTAATTACCTTTCTAACGGCTGCAGAGATATTTCCTAGCCAGCGCGAGCCTCATGTTGTCAGGAGATTGCTGTAACACAATTCATCAAAATGGGTGGATGTTAGCTCTTTTCCTCCTGTAGAAGTCTAGCAAGAGTTCTTTATGCCCCAGCTGGGTTTTATAGGTGTTTCATTGTTAAGGTCTGAAAACCTGCCAGGAAGTTCTCCCCTCCCCACCCAGCCACCAGCACAGCAAGTGTGTTGTGAAGGTACTTTTTATTTCAGTCTTAGAATGTGTTTTCATCCAGGAAGGGATCTCCCGGGAAGAGGCCCAGGGCGAAGGATGCTCTGCCCAGGAAATTCTGCTCCCTAGGCAGTGTGGCCTCACCTGGACTCCCCACAGTCTTGCTTGGGATCTTTGTTCATTCTAGGGCTGGATTCCAAAGCCATGAAGATCCACCAGTTCCTGTAGCCCTTGCATCTATGACCTTACACAATACAATCCTAAATCATACAGGCAAATTCATTCAACCTCATATTTTGGTCACATATCTACTCATTATCCAGGGTTGGGTTAGCATAATTGTGCTAATCTTCTGTTTTTGTATCCTGTCTGCTCTAAAGGAAGCAAGAGATGAAAATTTTAAAATACCCCGTAGATACTCTCAAATAAGAATCTTGTGAAAGAGTTGGCATTTAATGACTCATAGCTGATGGCTCAGTCACTTCAGCTCGTTAACCAAAATGATGAAAACATCTTACGTATTGCATAGACTCTAGGTCAGGAGCTGTACTAAGTGCTTGATACATTAGCCTATGTACATCTTACATCAGCCCCACAAGTAGATGCAGTTTTGTTTATCTTACAGATCAGAAAACTGATACTTAAACTAAAGAGCTAACTCCAGGTCACACTAAAATTGAGATAAGCAGCAGAGCAGAGAGACAAACTCGAGATTACTGTACTTCCAAGCCCATATGTATGCATTGCTGTTTAGAACAGATAACATCAGCAGTAAGATTAGCCATACAGACATAAGTGATCTGAAAAACTGAAAATTCTTGTGCAATATCTAGCACCTAAGGCAAACAAAAATCTTGGCTGGTTGTCATTATGCTGATTTAAATTTATCTTTGAGGTGAAAAAACATGAGAGTATATTGTGCTAGGGTTTTCAAAAGATACTTCTATATTTTGTTGATGTTCTAGAAATAAAGTGTCAGAAGAGACAGATAAAAATTCTGGCCTTAACTTTGAAATGAGTTGTAGCTCAGTGCCACAAGGAGATTGATGGACTTGACAGAAATGACAGCAGCAGCATCTAAATCTGAGTTTCTGAAGTATCTGAAAATGAGAGTCTCTTCTGGGGATTGCCCCATCCTACAAGAACTGCGAACCAGCTTGGAAATCTACCATGGTATTCACCCTGAGAATTCTACACATGGCTTCACCTCAGCTGGTCCTCAGATGTTCCAAGGAATTAAATATGGAGAAAGTACAATTGTTATGACATCAACCTCAAGTTTTGGTTCATTATGAAGGCAACTTATCAAAGTCTCTCGATGCATAGGAATGAGCTCACTGGCTCTTTCCCTACGGTCTCCACTTAGTGAGTTCACATCTGTTGAAGAACTTTGCAATTCTCAAAAGAAAATCACTTCTTTAATAATGATGGGCACTATCATGACTTGGGAATTTGAACCTTGAAATAGTGTTCATAGAAGATTTTCTGTATGATGAATAGCATATAGCAGGCAAGGATACTGGGAACTCCCTGTTAACCCAGGCAGTTACTGGTGTGGGCTGTAATGTTATTAGAAGAACCAACAACTGTGTAATTCCCTCCTCTCTCTGTTAACCTAGTATCATATAAACTTTTTTAAATTGAATTTTTGCAATTTTTACAAAATATGGTTTGATGGCATTTAGATCTACTTCCTTCTCCCCATCTCCCTCCATTGCCCCCTGCCCAATTTAATGAACTCGCATTTATATATATATGACTCTACAGGCCCCAATTTGTGTCCCCAAATGTCCTTCAGTGTGGATCCATTCACTGGGCCCACCAAAGAGTCCCAGCCCTGTAAGACAGTCTTTCCCCCTTCTAGCAGACATCAGTTGTCAAAACTTGCTTAGGTTGTGTTGGAATTTCTTACCCACCTCTCTGTGTCTATGGTGGGATTTTGTCTGTTCTGAGCTTGCACAGGACTTGTGCATCTTGTCACTGTTGCTGTGACGTATGAGTAACTGACCAGCTGTCTGGAAGACTGTTTCCTTGTGGTCATCTACCCTCTTTGGCTTTTACAATCTTTCTGACTCCCCTTCTGCAGTGATCCCTGAGCCTTAGAAGGTAGACGTTTGAAATTGGTGTCCTATTTAAGTAGAAGCACTCTGTGGCCTCTTGTTCACTGCACATTGGCCAATTGTAGGTTTCTGGGTTAATCACCATCTGATGCATAAGGGAACTTCTGTAGTGAGAATTAAGAGATGCATTCATCCTAAGTTTAGAGGTTGATTGAGGTTGTGTCGATTTGGGTTAAGCATCTCACAGACACTTATTCTGTGCATTTGACAAGTTCTGGAACTCTATAGTAGTCTCCTTCTGTTGCAAAAAGGAGCTTCTTTGATGAGGGGTGAAAGGTATACTTGTCTCTAAGCTAACACATATTTAGAATAAAGTAAGAAATTACATTGATCTAGAGATAGGGCAACGACAGGCTCTCCTCTAGGATATATGACCTCTCCAGTCAAGTGTATTTGGCTATGTTTACAGTACCACACATGAGTTCCCTCCCACTGATGGGCCTTAAATCCAAATAGCTGTTGATTACCCCCAAGATAAAAGTGCCACTACTACACTAATAGTGATAGTTTGCTGGGCTAGTCATTGTTTATTCATAGCTGGGTAGGACCATTGATTGGTTTTCCCCCTTGGCAGCTTGAGTAGTAACCTCTGATACCATGAGAGCTGATCTTCAGAGAGGAAGCTTCCAGGTCAGTTCTAAGTGTATGAACTTTAATTAAATCTTCCTCTGGTTGAGGTTACAGGGAGGTTTTCAGGATTTCTTGATGCTCCTTTACACATTGAATTCACATCAAAGTTTTGGGCCAAAGAGGAGACTGGAAAAGTAGTAAAAGGTATCTCCTATTGTGTATAAATGTATAACACTTTCAGATCCATTAGGGGGACTTTCTAGGCAGCTTCACTATTAGTATTTTCATAGCAAGTATTCCCATGCGAGGTCTTGGTGATCCTCTGCTATACTGCTTTGGTTTGAGGAACACAAGTCTGAATCCCTTTATAGAAAAAGAAACTGCTCTTCACAATCGGAGCTTTTAGTAAACAAGGAAGAGATTGCATAATTCTTTCAAAGTCCTCTGCTTCCTGAAAACAGACCTTGGATTTCTGTACTTGTCTCTTCTGCTATAAGCAGTATTTCTTCTTTACACTTGTGTCTAAACAGCAATTAGTATGACTTGAATGCCATATCATGTCGAGGCAGGAAGCTCAGCCCTTTCCTTCCCCAGTCCTGAGAGGTCCTTTCCCTCCTCTGGCAATGAGCCACCTTTCCTTATCACTTGTGCCTTTCCCTATCTGGCCCATACAAACAGTTGGCCCTGCCTTCTCTCTGTGGTAAGAGATGAAAAATGAGGTTTCCTGCACTTGGAAGAAATAGCACAAATGGAAACCAGTCAGGTTTCCAGGAGAGGCCAAATTGGCTGGTATACAAGAGAAAAACCTGCTAAGGTATTACAGGATGGTACATCTTTATTAGCCTTCTAAAATTTTGTTTAAAAATATTCAACGAGATACCCTCAAAGACAAAAGCAGAATGAAATCTCAAGGTCTTTACATCCAGGAAAACAGTTCTGACTTCTTACTAAGGTTGCATCTGAATGTTTTAAACTCTACTGTTATCATTTTGTGTAAAAAAGAAAATGGAGATGTCGGAAAGAGGTGCTGTGAGCCATGAGCCCACTGTGTTTCCATCAGTGATTTTCATTCATATTTATGAAAATGCAAGATTAAGCTATCGTGGATATAAACTTAATTATAACATGATAAAATGAAAACTGGCAGAGGTATCCTGGAGGAAGGTTTTATCATTGTTTCACACTGAGCACTCTAGTGGTCAAGGTAGCTGAGATGCCTTTTATTATCTAAGCATATGTTAAGCAAAATGGTGGCCCTCAAACATGATACCTTAGTCTCCAAAACCAAAAGATACATTCCTTTGGATGATGTATAAGTTGATTTTATGTTGTTGTGATAGAATACCCTGACAAAAAGTAACATGGTAAATGGATAGAACTAGAAACTGTTATACTAAGTGAAGTAACACAGATTCAGAAAAACAAAGGATGCATGTTCTCCCTCATATGTGGTTCCTAGCACCAAATCCTTATGTCAGTATGTATCCAGACATAACTACAGGAACCAGGATAATGAAAAGGAACCAGGGAGGTAAAGGAAAAGAAAGAATCTGAAAGAGAAGAACAGTAGAAAACAGGTATTAATAAAGGAGATATGGATAAAAATGGAGTGATTTTAAGGGGAGTGGGGAG